GAAACTTCCAGGTTGTGCCGCGAGCCGGCCCAGACAACCTTCATGGCCTGGACATCAAACTCCGCCTTCTTCCTCTCGCCAGCTAGGTAATCCACTCCCTCCATTTTTCTTTTCCCTCCAATCAAGCAACAAAAAGAAAAGGAAAAACAAAATATGCTACACAGTTATGAAGATCGACGAGTATGTGTGAGAAATCAATACTCCATAGATGGATTTGTAGAGAGAAAATTAGCGATAAGGTCTGTGTAGGTAGGAGATGATCAGTGGCGCTTCCCAATGCGTGACTGTGTGTGTATATAGTCATCGTGTGGTGTTTGCATTTATAGGCGCGTGTTTTACAAACGATCCCACTTTTTGCTTTTGTTTGACTTTTTCCAAATTTGCCTCACGTTTGTTGTGTTTCTCAACAGTCATACACCGACCAACAAACTAATATTTATTTAATTATGTGCACATATAAAATATTTAAATTATACCAACAAACTAATATTTATTTAATTATGTGCACATATAAAATATTTAAATTATTATAACTTAGGGAAATGCTAAATTCTCGTTACGGAACCATTCCGTCAAAATTTTTTACTATTAGTGCATGTAATCGTATGAGATAGTTGATCTAACGGTTACAAACTCTGACGTAATGGGACCGTAGCATTTTTCAATAACTTATATATACGTATATAATATTAAAATTATTAAAATTATAAGTTAGGTTATAACATTACATGTTGTAAATTTTGATAATGTAGTTTCTATCATTTGAGGATCATCACCTACTTAATTATCTTAAAAAGTATTAAAATTATTATGATTATTATAAAAAATTTGGCTATACCACTAAAATCACTGAGCTTATTAAGAAATATTTAATGAGATGCAAAATAAATAGTTTAGGAAAAAAAATTGCAATGTAATTAGTTATACTTATTGAACTCCTATGTATGTATTATCGAGTGTGAATTATAATTGATTAGTTTTAGTAATAACTGTTATATAATATAATAATAAAAAAAATGTGATTACACTTTAATTAAATATTATATTAACAAAGTCATTGATAAGATTTCGGTTACAATTTTTTAAAAAAAAAAAAAATTATTGAACTGTAATAAAGAATGTGGAAATTCAAATAATTTTATTAATTTTTTCGCTAGCATATATATAAGTTGATATTGATAATGTTGTTTTTTTTTTTTTNNTTTTTTTTTTTTTGTTTAATAAACTAGATCAATACAATCAGATACTAACCGAGTTAGAAACTACATCAAAAAAAAGAAGAGAAGAAAATAGGGAGATAATCACTCCAAACATGGGATGATTGCGAAGTAACCGCCCATTTCGCTATGTTGTGGGCCACCCCATTTTGTTCTCTTGGTAAATAACCGCATCGGCCACAATCAAGAGAAATGAGGAGTGCTCTAATGTCGTCAAACACTCCCATCAAAGGATCGAGCTCTTTCTGGTACGAAACCCCGTTAATTACGCCCATAGAATCCGTTAAAGTCGTCTAAAGAGTGAATCCCAAGTCCAATGCAATGCATAGCCCGTGTCTGATAGTTAAAGCTTCCGCCAAAAGAGGAGAAAAGGAACCCGTTATACGGGTGGCAAAAGCAACCATACATACGCCAGAGGAGTCCCGAATCCAACCACCTAGTCCGATCTCTGAATTCCGAACTGCTGCATCAGAAATGAGAGTCCAACCATTATTACACTTCCCAGGTCCCCTCCAAAGAGAAATAGAAGCAACAGTAGGAACCAAACCGTTGGTAGCGAAGCCCGAACTAGCATTATCGACTTCTTTTAACCAAGACAAACCGAACTCCCACACTTGTTCCGCCTCTCGACCCTTAAGCCTTTTTCGACACCGGTTTCGTTCATACCAAATGAGCCATAACCCGATGACAAAACTGCGGATATCGTTACCCCGGGTCCCGGACAAAAGGGCCACAAAAAGCTGGATAAAGTCTCCCCGCCAAAAACCGTGGACAACATCCCACCAACCTGCATATCTCCACATCCTTTTCGCCCACTTACATTCAAAGAAGAGATGATAGTTGGTTTCACGACCACCGCACCTGGGACATCTACTATCCACGCAAATGTGTCTCCGCATCAAATTTTCGCTAGATGGTATAGCTGAAAGAGACAATTTCCAAATAAAAACTTATATTTTTGCGGGGAGACGAAGCTTCTACAACGCTTTCCACCATTGCATGTTCAGATTAGAGCTTGATTCCCACGAACCCTCGAGAGATTTTTTCAACAAACGATAGCCACTTCGCACTGATAATGTTGTTACTCTTAAAGAGTGTGTGTAGTGTTTCTGAAATATATAATTGCATTTGGCTTACTATAACCGTAGATGTTTTAATGAATTTATGGTATATTAATAATGGAGTTTGGCTCCTACAAGTATAGATATTTTTTGAATTTATTAACAATAATTAGGATAAAAAAATATATTTAAACAAACAAACAACAACAACAACAACAACAACAACAACAACAACAACAACAAATGGAAGTGTTTATATTTATGAAAAAGCATGTAGTTCTATTGGTTTTGAATTCATTAAACAGAATGAATCCGTCTTTACACATTCGAAATCCATAGAGCTCCGAACCTTTCAATCAAAATGAAATACGAGATGGAGTGAAGACAAGCTTCGGATCTTTCAATCCAACTGCAATCTGAGATAATCTGCACTTGCATACAAACACGCATCAGAAAACGAATACACTATT